AATGATCTGTGTGTATCAGAGATTTAGTAGTGGTCATATCACAATCAGACTGGTATACACCGGGGACACTCATGAAATTCTGTTTTTCTTACAAGTCATACATTCACTATTATTTATTCTGTAGGAAAATTAAAAACTGTTATCTAACAACTGTCAATGTTGCTGTTTCCTCAAAATACCTGATTACTGGGTGACTGAATTCAAAGGAATTTTTCTACCACTTTCCCAGAGTGATGGAATATCTAGAAAGGTTCAGTTATTGGAAAGATCCTGTAACTTATATGTACACAAGTCTGGATTGTTGGACCCATTACCTTTACTTCAAAGCCAAAATAAAATAATTTTGATGATGGACAGTGGTGGTCTATACCTTTAATCTCAGCACTGGGAATGCAGAGGCAGGTGGATCTCTGTGAATTTGAGGCCAGCCTAGTCTACAGAGTGATTGCCAAGACAGGCCCCAAAACCACACAGAGAAACCCTTTCTCGAATAATAATATTATTATTAATATTATTTTGATAATTAAGAAAATCCCCGCCACTGAAGTAGTTGTCATTTTTCTCTTCTTCTTCTTCTTTTTTTTTTTTTTTTTTGGATTTTTGAGACAGGGTTTCTCTGTGTAGTTTTGGAGCCTGTCCTGGAACTCACTCTGCAGACCAGACTGGCCTCAGACTCACAGAGATCCACCTACCTCTGCCTCCCCAAGTGTTGGAATTAAAGGCCTGTGCCACCACAGTCTAGTTAGTTGTTATTTTCTTAACCAATATAAATTAGAATATACAACTTCTACAACATGAATTACAAAATAAGTTGCTTAAATGAAACAGGTGCATGCCTTTAGTCCCAGTACCTGAAAGGCAGAGGCAGGCAGATCTCTTTGAGCTCAAGGCCAACCTGGTCTACAGAGTGAGTTCCAGGACAGCAAGGACTGTTAGACAGAGAAACCTTGTCTCAAAAAAAAAAAAAAGAAAAAAAAAGGAATATTAGCATTCCAAAAGAATGGGAATGACTGTCCTAGGGCCTTTCATACTCCACACACAGTCTTCACTTTTCTAGAAGCTCTTATAAGAACAAGCAGTATCTATTTGGCAGTATGACAGCAGAGAAAGAAACAAGTTGGTTTTCACTCTAGATTGTTCTAACTAGTAATCAAACCATTAATAATATCTTTCTACAAGCTTCAATTTCTTCACTTAATGAGACTGAATCTATATCTCACAAACACTTTATTAAGAGCTATTAGGCCAGGCGGTGGTGGTGCATGCCTTTAATCCCAGCACTCAGGAGGCAGAGGCAGGCGGATCTCTGGGAGCTGGAGACCAGTCTGGACTACAGAGCTAATTCCAGGACAGGCTCCAAAGCCACAGAGAAACCTTGTCTCGAAAAAGACAACAACAACAACAAAAACCAAACAAATAAAAAAAAGCTATTAGATGACAAAATCAGAATGAAAATTAAATTATGAAATATGATATGCAAACATTATCATACAGTATAATGCAGGGAGGTAACATGCAAAAAAAAAAAAAAAAAGACTAAGTTTTAACATGTCTATGAAGGGACTTGGTAGCCAAGGTAGACTTGATTCCATAGGAAATCATCTTTCACAGATGTTACTAAGGAAAGTAAAACTCGGGTAGGGGTACAAGTGAGGGTGGTACTTATATATAAAAGGAATGGGGACAGAAACACATCAAGTCAAGGTTTGATCCCCAGCACTGTAAAAGACAATTTTTAAACATTCAGTGAGATCATGAAGATGCCTACAGAGAAATCTAACAGTGGGAAAAGATATATAGTACAAGAAGAAAAAACTATTGAAACAATAACCTATTAAAACAATCCAGTTAAAAGAGAATACCTTGTGTTACAGCCCAGATAGTAAGATAAGAATAGAATAGGCTGACTCAAAGATTGCAAAAGGATTTGAAAAACTATATAGAAATGAGAGAAAGGGAACAATTTAAAACAAAACAGAAGGTGACTAGAAACCCAACATAAAACAAAACAAAACCAACTTTTTCTATTTCATTTCTGGGGGATGTCCTTCTGTATACATGTTTCTCTTATTGGTTGATGAATAAAACACTGATTGGCCAGTAGCCAGGCAACAGTATAGGCAGGGATACCAGACCAGGAGAATTCTGGGGAGAGGAGGCAGAGAAGAGCCACCAGAGAAATACCATGTAGTCGCTAAAAGAGTAACAGGTCTGGACTTTCTCCAGTAAGCAAAGACCACATGGAAATACACAGACTAGTAGAAATGGGTTAATAATTAAGAAAGAGACAGCCAATAAGAAGCCCTAGCAATTGGCCAAACAGTTTATAATTAATATAAGCCTCTGTATTAATTTGGGACTAAAGGGCTGCAGGACCTGGTGGGACAGAAACCGGTCTACATTAGACATATTAAATCTGAAATGTAAATGTCAGCTGGGCATGGTTGTGTAAGCCTTTATTCCTAGCACTCGGGAGGCTATCTCTGTGAGTTCAAGGACAGCTGGTCTATAGAGAAAGTTCCAGGACAGCCAGGGGTACACGGAGAAACCCTGTCTTAAAAAGAAAATGGTGTCTAAAAGACTTACGGAATCTTACAAGGGTGTGAGTTAGCTGTTTAATCTATCTTAACATCAAAGAATAAGACAGAACTCAGTAATAAATCAGAAGTTATTAAAAAACAAAAAGAGTAGGAAGAACGGGAATAAGGGAATAAAAGAAATCTGAAGAAGACATGTATTATAGAGCTGAGCCAGGCAAGGTAGCACACACCCTTAATCCCAGCACTCAGGAGGCAGAGGCAGGAGGATCCATGTGAGTTCAAGGCCAGCCTGGTCTAATAAATGAGTTAATGGACAACTACACAGAGAAATCCTGCCTTGAAAGATAGATACATAGATTAGATAGGGAGGGAGGGAGTTTTTTCTTATTTTAATGTATACATTTTTCCCACTTCCCTTCACCCCTCCCCTCTCCCCTTCTACCCTCCTCCTTGGCCCCACACTCCTAATTTACTCAGGAGACCTTGTCTATTTCCCCTTCCTAGGTGGATCAGTGTATGTCTCTTTTAGGGTCCTCTTTGTTATCTAGGTTCATTGGGAGACTACTTAAATTTGATATTTGATTTTTAATAAAAGATTAAGAACAGAGTTTGCAGAATGCTTTTTAACTTTTTTTTTGTTTTGGGGGGGTTCAAAGACAGAGTGTCTCTGTAAAATAGCCTTGGCTGTTCTGGAATTTGCTCTGCAAACCAGGCTGGCCTCAAACTCACAGAGATCCACCTACCTCTGTCTCCCAGGTTATGGGATTAAAGGTGTGTGCCACCACTGCCTGGCCTGACTTGGTTTTATGTTTATAGAAATACTGTTTCGTATGATTAAAATACATTTTAATTGTAGTGGGTGTGTGGGTGTGTGTACGCGCACGCGCGCATTCAACTCAGGGGAGACTCTAAAGTGCAATGCTATATATTTGTTGAAGTAAGGCAGAAACGGCTGAAAACACCAAAGCAAAGACTACCAGAAGTTAAAAATAGAAAATAAAGATATGCTTGGTGAGAAGGAGATGCTTGCGATTAGTCAATGGATACTTATTATACTGCCCAGAGGTCATAACAACAGAATCCCTTCACATTAAAGTTCTATGAAAATGGCAAAGGGAGCCTGAAGTCTTAATGACTTTGCTCATACCCCAACTTTGTAGTTAAGGAGTCAGTAGCTAACTCAACCTCTTTAAACAATTCTGTTTGTAGCACAATGCAATAACTAATTCCCTATTGTCTCTTATGGCCAGGAAAAGATTTAAGCTATATTCAGAATACTATGTTGAAAGTGACAATGAAATATGACTTTGCTTAAAATAGGACATTTTTAATCACATACCAGTTGAATTTTAGGTACTAGGTTCATTTTCCAGAAGGCCTCATTAGAAATAACACAGAGAGCTACAGTGCCATATTAGCAACATTATCTCATATACTTCAAGCTTAAAGAGTGAAATATTTTGCTTTAATTTTGTGAAGAATAAGTAATTCTAGTAATTCATCATCTTACAAGTCAGAACCCTGGAAATCATCCCAGAATTTCTTCACTCTAACCTCCAGTTATTTACTAGTTAAATACCTCTTAAAAACAGTCCATCGGCAGGAAAGAGTTGAACTGTTAAGAGCACTTCCTCTTACAGAGGACCCATATTTAATTCCCAGCACCCACATGGCTGCTCACAACCACCTGTAAACCTGTAACTCCAGCTGTAGGGGATTCAACACCCTCTTTTGACCTCCAAAGGCATCAGACACGCCCACACAGTGCACAAACATGCATACAGTCAAAACACTAACACACACACAAAGTAGGGTTTTAATACCACTACCACCATTATTCCTTGTCTGAGCATTTTTCTCTGTGTAGCCCCAACTGTCCTGGAACTCAAGTTATAGACCAGGCTGACCTCAAACTTAACGAGATCTGTCTGCCTCTACCTCCCGAATACCGAGTTTAAAGGCATGCGCCACCATAGTCCAGACCTTATCTAAATATTAAGCTATTAACTAAACTGTGTTGGTCCCAAACTATAATGATCAGATTTCAGGTTGACTTCATGTACTTAACATCTGTAAATGCACTGGTTTCAGAAGCCTGCAAAGAAAACACACCAATGGCAAACCAGAGACACAGTCCTTCTAAGAGAGCCTTTGCATCTTTACTAACATGATCTCCTGATTGAGAAAGAATGTCTGCAGTTATTTAAAATGCTAACCTGTTCTCATTGCTCTTGAGACCCATGAATGACAAACAACCTGAAGTTCCTGGAAGCATAACAGCAAAGCCTCTGCCCCAATAAGCATCACAAAATCTTGACTTCAAATAAAAGAATGCAAAAACAAATTATCTACACAGTTACATTGGGTTTCTGATACAGGGTTTTAGGAGGCAAAAATAACCAATTTAGCATTTTTTTGTAATCTAAAGTTACAATAAAACGTTACATGCAAGGCAGTTACCTGAGGAGAGTCAAATGGATAGCGACTACTAAACTTAAACAGAAGTTGAAACTTTTCCCCTTCATATAAGGTACCTGGTGCACCTTCCATGTCTACAATCCACCTAGGACAGAAAAAAGAAAAACAGAAATGAACAAATTTAAAACTTAAGATAAAAATGACTGGGGTAAAAGGAAAAAAAGAGGTCACTGAGATGCCGAGCACTGGGCCAGAGTAACCCATGTGTAGTTGTGCACGTCACCCAACAACTCTCACAGTACAAGTCGTTTTTATTTTTACTTCATTACTGGCATGTATATTACATGTTTGAGTCACTTTATTATTACTGTAAGGGCAATATGCACAACCATCGCACGCATGTAGAAGTCAGGAGACAACTTTGTGGAACTGATCCTTTCCCCCCACCTCTATGTGGGTTCTAGGAATTGAATTCAGCGGGTTACCTTCTAGGCTACCTTTCTGGCCGTCAGTGCAGGATTGTTTTCTGTCTGATCTGTGCATGTATGCTATATATGTGATAGTACCCATGGAGGTCAGGGTGACAGATCCCCTTGTAAGACACCCGTGACATGGACACTAGTAATAAGCATCTGGAAGAACAACAAGCCCTCTTAACTGCTGAGCTCTCTCTCCAACCCCAGAGTAGGTTTTAAGCACTCTCTTGCCCATCCTTCTGTGACACTTGGAATTAAAGAAATTAGGTCAAGGTCAGAGCCAGGCTTGTAACCCAGGTCTGAAACAAACTACAAACAAATAAAACTCTCACTTCCCTATGTCTACATCCATGCCCATCCTTTTAGATGACACCATCTTATTTTCATTCCAAAGACTACTTTCTATCATAACCAAAATCATTTTAGACAACACCAAGCTCATTAACTGCCTTCCTAATCAGGGTTAGAAGCAATGGGAGAAATTGCTATCAGCAAAGACTACAGAGAATCGAAGCTGACAAACCGGCTTCCTGGGCAGTGGTCTAAGGAAGACTAAATGGAAGTTCAACTGATGCCCACCCACCTACTCTGAAGGTCAGTTACAAGCAATGATCTCTGCTGCCTTTCTTTCTAAGGCACTTTCAACGTGTTCATTAAAACGCACACCGATTTCTATGACATCTACTGTAAGCCTGCTTAGTTTGATTTCATGTGTGACAATCAAGAGCGTAAATGTTGGTACTGATATTCTGTAACTATCTCCAGTCTTCAGAAGAGAAGATAGAAGACAACAATAGCAGATAGGACAGCATTTAGATGTGAACCCATCAGTAAGAATGAGTCTTTAATTATAACTGTCACATGCAATTGTTGTAGTTGGCCAAGTCCTTTAACCTCATGCTTCTTGGGTACAAAAATATTCTTATTTTAAACATAGGAAAACTGGGGTTGAGGATATATCTTAGCAGTCGCACACTTGTGGACAATGATCACGGCCTTGGTTTGGTGCCCAGTACGATCTGCCAGCCAATATCACCCGCCCACCCACCAGTCTGTCCGTCCATCCGTCTAGGAAAATAGGCAATACTACTACTCATGTCTCATGTGGTAGAGAACTAGAAATGTTTAAAATAATAACATGGGCTGGGAAAGAAATCAACTAAAGTACAAAAGTCCTTAAAATATGACAATTCATTTTCAGAATGCATGTTGAGTTCCTTAGATATGGGAGGGATACCATTGGGAGAGTGAAATGTTACTACATATGTAAAAAACTCATGCATTAGTATACAGTAAATTAAATACAACACAAAGCTGTATAGAAAGCAAAAACCCGTGGGGGTACACAGTTGAGTGGCAGAGTCCTTGCATACCATGATAAAGGCCTGTGTTCACTACCTAGCTACACTCGCACATAGACATAGGTTCAAATGTGCCCCCCCACCCCATTAAAAACAAAACAAACAACTAGGTCTTTCTCAGCTTCAAAATTCATTTTCTCCCACCCACCCACATCTATATTCCCTAGAACGATAATCCAAGGAAACAATTCCCTGGTATACCTTCATTTTCTTTATATAACAAATTTTAGAACTTACAAACATGACCAATTTACTTATAACATAAGGAAGTTTTAAATAACAGCAAAGCAAACACATCATTAATCATGTACTATCTGCATGAACCAGGTCAATGACATGATTTCCAATATTGTGTGAGATAAATTTTTAATCTTTGCTAATTAAAAAGTAATATATTAAAAAAAAGTAATATATTAAGTATCACTTTAAAATTCAGGAATAAACCACTGTTAACATTTTTTGGGTATATTTTATTATCATTTTGCAGTTTACTACATCACTGATGATAAGAAATAGAAATATAGGGGCTGGAGAGATGCTCAGAGGTTAAAAGCACTGGCTGCTCTGCCAGAGGTCCTGAGTTCAATTCCCAGCAACCACATGGTGGCTCACAACTATCTACAATTAAATCTAGTGCCCTCTTCTGACATGTAGGCAGAACACTGTATATGTAATAAATAAATATTTTTAAAAATGGAAATATAGCACTTTTACTATGTGCACATTTAAATTACACTACTTTTCAGCTTTATTAATAATTACTGTGCATGGGCACCATGTGTGGGTATGAATATGCATGCCATGATGTGAGGTGATGTCAGGGAACAATTTTGTGGAATTGATTCTCATCTTCCAACTTCACTTGAATTCTCAAGATCACTAGGCTTGTGCAGCTTTAGCGGCTGAGCCACCTCACCAGCCCCAGGCATACAATGAACCATGAGTGCTTAGATTCCATCGTGAGCACAAGGATGCAATAGGAAAAGTAAATACACCTTTCGCCAGTGAGTCTCAACTCTTGAATTTCTGTAACTATAACTCTTCTTAAAAACTAATGGTTTGAATTTGATATTTTACACACATTCAGGCTTCTAATAAAAGAAATAGGAGAGCTGTTTCTGTGGACTAAGACAAGCAGCATACAAATGTTTTATTTGGGACACTGCTTGTTCTTTAGGCAGAGATCTCACCAGGATGTCCAGAGTAGTCTTGATTCTCCTACCTCAGCCTCCTGAGAAGCCAGGACTACAGGTATGTTCCACTGCACCCAGCCAATAAAGCCTTTCTACAGAATTTTCAAAGATAATTATGACTATACAAAATTTCTATCTTACAAACAATAAAGTGATAGCACTTTCATGTGTCACCCTTCTCTATTGTTGACATTTACAGTTTTCAAAAAACATTCTTTTTTTTTTCAACACTCTTACATGAGATGCTTTAAAGAAAAAAAAAGTAGTACAGTTTGCTCTAGGTAACTCTCCTCAAACCTTTGTTATTTCTTTAGTAGTACAGCAAGGTGTTTTATTCACTGTGTCTAAAGTATGGTGTTCATTTCTAGTTTCCTGTGCTGCGCTCTGAATGCAGGGCACCGGCTCAGCACATAAGAGGCAGCACACACCTCCCAGTAGTTTTCCAGAGACTAAGGCTAGCCTGAGTTACAGCAAAAAGAATACATAAATAAAAAGAACATGAAAAACACACAGGGTTGTTTGAAGAAAAAAGAAAGCTTTAGAAATTACACGAAAAATTACACAGTAAGGTAAAAAATGAATATGCAAATACATGGAATAAGATCTTTTTACTTTACAATGAAATATGAACATAACAGTTTTTTTTTAAAAGAGTACATACTTACACAGTTTATAAGTAAGAACTTTAAAAATCAGATACTTACTGTGTAATTGAATTTTGGACGCTCTTTTCATTTAATGTCATTCCTGGAGGTGGGTCATTTTGCAAAGCCAACAGTTCTTTTTGTAGTCGTTTCTAGAAAATATCAATAGTAATTTGGACTTTTCATCTTTCCTCTACACAGTCTAAAACTGGTGATTAAACTTCCTCCCAATGCTTGAACCTCTTTCTTTACAAGGCCCTTGCATCTCTCCACATAACATCCATACTTAATCCTTAAACTATGGTTTGCCCTACAATTCATAACCAATGTTGGAGCATTCCAATCCTACAATGCTACTGTACACAGCTCTGAAGGGCAGCCCCTTCTTCCCTGAGGATGCAGTTACTCTGTAACAATGGAGATAGAGAAGCCTTCCAGGGAAATTATGAAAGTATCTTTTTACACAAAAACCTTCTGAAAAACAACTCATTCAACTCATAACCTAATTCTGTACTTATCTTCTTAAGTAGGATTATCTGAACATGATTCACTCTAAATTAGAATAAGGTTTTTTTCTCACATACTAGATTTCTAAATGGCTTTATGTTTCACTTTTTGCTTGTCATCAGGAGACAAAGCAGAACAGAAGTCACAGTAGAACTGTCACTGTAGAGAGAGTACTCGACTGGCATGTGCAAGACTGTGTTATCCTCAACATTACAAAAAACATAACTAATGCTATTGAAATTATATGCAAGTTTATGAAGATCCTTTTAAACCACATTTTATTCCTTTATTTGAGCTGGAATCCCAACTCTGGTCCTCTGGAAGATCAGCTAGTGCTCTTAAACTACTCAACCACCTCTCCTGCCCCAGATTACTTATTTTACTTTACTGATTTAAATGTATGTGTGTGCACAGACATGGCAGTCAGAGGACAACGTGAGGGCGCTTTTTCTCTTTCTGTCCTGTGGGGTCCTGGAGATGGATGGAACTCAGGTTGTCTGTTTTATGTGCATGAGTTTTGCCTTCATGTATGTATGTATGTGTACCATACCATCGTGTATGCCTAATGCCCTCAGAAGTCAGAAGAGTGCAGCCAATACCCTGGAACTGCAGTTAGAGATGACCGTGAGCCACCCATGTTGGTGCTGGGAACTGAATCAGGTCTTCTACAAAAGCAACAAGTGCTCTTTACTGGTGAGTCATCCCTCTAACTCCTGGGAGCTAATTCTTAGAGTTAAAAAAATGAATATTTATAACTCAAATGGGTTTTCTGCTTTAAAAATGGTCTCTCCGCCTAGTGAAATGATATATTCCATTGCAGAACTCAGAAACCTGAGGTGGGATTATGAATTTGCAGTCAGTCTGGACTACATTATGAAATACTACCTTGAAGGGGGAGAGGGGGTGCAGAGAGTTGGAGGGAGGAGCAGAGGGAGTGGGAGAGGAAGAGAAAAAGAGAGCTCCAAATAATGGAACCCTGCCTAGAGTGTCTCAGAAGTCTATTTCAGTGGCCACACTCTGAGGAACAGTACTGTGGATCCTCCACTCTCCAGGATTTCACTAAACAGAAAAGATGCTATAATGTAACCCATGTCCATCCAAACAACTCACAGTGATAAAGACAAACTTAAGACACTAAATGCAGCCCTAGTGTAATCAAGAAAAGAGACTAGCTGATGAATAGAAAGACTAAGATTCTCAAGTATCAGTTGTCAAAAATAAATGCAGAGCTCTTTTCTGAAGCCTAACATTGTGACCCCTCAGCATGCTTACTGGGTGTTACTGGATCTATCAGTAATGACTGCTGTGATACTGGTGAAGTTCATAAACTCATCTGACTCGCTCTGACAACTTGACGTTCTTATTTTTCTTTGTTTTTAAAACTGCCGTATGTTCACTGCTAGTAATTTGTAAAGTCTGCAGAAGTTACAAATACTCCATTTTCATTAAAGGAAAAGCACCAGCAGGTCTATGTCTGAGCACATTTTGGGCAATGGTGTTAGCAGACTACTTTATTAGAATAATGCAGTCTTTGCTCTTTGGTTTCTGATCACTTTTCCCAATGTATGTGCTTGGCTACTAGTTTGACAGTTTTGCTGTTTCACACAGCAAGTTAATGGGTCCTTCAATAACCTATAGCTATTTAATATGAACAGTTTAGAATCTTTAGAAGATTGAAGACTACATCAAGAAAAATATTCCCAGTTTTAGCCTTTTAGATTGTGATATAAACTACATAGTTTAAAACTATATCACAATCTAAAAGGCTTTTTCATTTCTAAAGTGGCTCCATTTTGACATTAATTCAGTTTTCTAAAGATTCATTTGTTGTTTATATTTATATTTGTCTGCTGTATGTACATCCTCTGACCACAAAGGCCAGAAGATGCTGGATTTCCTGGAGCTCAAGTTACAAGCACTTGTGAGTTACCAGAAGTGGGAGCTAGGATCCAAACTCTGGTCCTCTGAAAGATCAGCTAGTGCTCTTAACTACTGGAACATCTCTCCATTTGTTTTTATATGTACCAATATGTGTGAAATCTAAGGCACAAAACCAGAACAGAGTAAATTCTTAATTGACATTGGTAACAATATATCAACTGTCCAAATTGAGAAAACCGTTTGCTTACTTTCAAAAGGGAAAATTGACAATAAATATGTAATAATGAAGTGCTCTATATGGTATATAAAAATGGAATGAATTAAAGGAATAGGAAGGTTTACATCTTACAGTTTTACCTCAAATTGAAACCTTGAAAAGTTTTTGTTGTTGTTGTTGTTAACATTGTTTTTGTTAGGAAACTATTTTTTTGTTATTTTTGTTTTTTGAGACAGGGTTTCTCTGTAGCTTTGGAGCCTCTCCTGGAATTCACTCTGTAGACCAGGCTGGCCTTGAACTCACAGAGATCTGCCTGCCTCTGCCTCCTAAGTGCTGGGATTAAAGTTGTGAGCCACCACCGCCCACCTGTTAGGAAACTATTTTAAAGAGTAGAAATTCTCACTGACCTTAAAGAGAAATACAAACAAAAGAAAGGAAAACACTCAAAATTAAGGATGTGGTGGCCTAAGCCTTTAGTCTCAGCAACTGGGAGGCAGGCAGGTCTCTGAGTCTGAAGCCAGGCTGGTCTACACTGCTATTTCCAATCCAGCCAAGGTTACATACTGAGATCCTATCTTAAAAAAAAAAAAAGGAAAAGAAAAGTACGTGGGGATGGAGAGATGGCTCAATAGTTAAGAGTACTGGCTGCTCTTCTAGAGGTCCTGAGTTCAATTCCCAGCACCCACATGATGGTTCACAACCATCTAAAATGGGAGCTGATGCCCTCTTCTGGTATAAAGTTGTACAGGCAGACAGAGAACTCATATACAAAATCAATCTTTTTTTAAAAAAGTATGTCACAGAGATCTGCATGCCTCTGTCTCCTCAGTGCTAGGATTAAAGGCAAGCACAACACCAGATATAATTTTTTAATTAAAAAAAAATTAAATCCCCTAGTCCAAAAAAAAAAAGTATGTAACAATGAGCTCTAGTGTAACTGTGTAGATCAAAAGACTATCAGTGAGTGTGGCTCAGTGGTAGAATGTCTACATAGTATTACTGAGGCCCTGAGTTGAGTAACCAATACTGTAAAAACATTACCAAGATGACCACCACTGTTTTCTCCAATGTCATCCAGCTGACAACTAAAGGTAGAAGGCAAACCACTGGAGATCATGTTATGAGGAGAAAAAGAACCTTTGATACAATGACAGCATTACAGTACAAGCCATACTCACATCCCCAGCCCTCTCATTTTCTTGAGACAGGGTTTCATGTTGTCCAGGCTGACCTGGAACTTACTATAACCGAGGATGACCTTCAACACTGGACCACCTTCATGTGCTAGCCTTTACACATGGAAGAGCATGCCACAATACCCAGTTGTTACCCTGGGCATGGTGCTAAGAATTAAGTTTAATTACTATGAAATGATTTTTAGCAATAGTCTAGCAATGAAATAATTTAGCCTTATTTTAGCATAAAGCAAAACTCAACACAAATGAAAGTTTCTCTCCACCGAATTCTGAGTACGCCTTCTATAGACTTAATTTCTGACAGTCATTTTTACGTTCTCCTCTTTAAAGAAAGGGAGAGCCTGCAACAAAGGTTTTCGTTCTTTAAGCCCACACTTTCTACATTCTGGAAAGTGAGAAGTATGACAACTGAAGTTCTCCAGGAGCCCACAGCACAGTGGGCTCCTGTAAGTCCAACACTCACTGTGACTGAGGCAAGAGGACTGTACATTGGAGGCCAGCCTGTGCTATAGACTCTACTGAAAGAGAGGGGTAAAGGTTAAGAACTTCTCCATGCCCAAAAGGTACCACAGAAAACTGCTATACACTGAAAGCTAAAGGCAGAAGCGTGTCAAAGTATAAGCTGGCTTCCACTCCCAGCACTATCCAGCAAGCTAAATACCCTGGGTAACTCTAGAAAACAAAAATAAAGTGAATACAGTAGCTCTGAAATCCAAGAATCCGGGCTATACTTACAGTGCTGACTTCAACCAAACCTGAATATATCACTTTAACAACAACACATCCAATAATGGAAGGAAGAGGGATAGATTACACACTAAGTAAAGCTATCTATTGACAATTACTTCACTCAAAGATAAACTGAAAAGTTAAAAAAATACAATTTATTTAAACATAAAAACAAAGTATATGATGGTGCACACCTTTGTTCCCAACACTCAAAAGACACAGATAGATGAGTTTGAGGCTAGCCTGGTCTATGTAGAGTTCCAGTACAACCAGGGCTCATAGTATGACCTCAATAACAAATAAAAATAAATAAGAGGCTGGAGAAGTGGCTCAGCAGTTATGAGCACTTTCTCTTGCAGAGCACCTGGGTTCAATTCCCAGTACTCATGTGGGAGCTCACAATCATCTGTAACTCCAGCTCCCTCAGTGGGCACCAGGCATGCACATGGTGCACAGACACACAGAAGCAAAACTCTCATACACATAAAAATGAAATGAATCCATTAGGCAACATGAAAATGTTTATAATCAGCAGAATGGCATTATTTCCCATTTTAAAAGTTATCCTTAATGTCTAACTCAAAAGACACCTAGATTCACAAAGATGCTCTGCCAGGTAGGT